TCTTCCATAACTGCTTCATGTTGAATACGGGCATTAACCCTAATTGTTCTCATGTCAGAATTTCTTTTGAATTTTTGATTACTAATATTGGTATTTAATAAAAAAGCTTGACTTTTTGTCATCCATACCAATGTTTCAAGATTTAAAAGTTAGGCTCAGTTAATAATGTATATATTATTTTTCATTTGTAAAATACTTAATACTGTTACTCTTTGAGTGAACAGATGCTTCAGTAGTATACTTTTTACCTGATGAGCATCAAGATTTTGCTAATTGATATGTGAATGTGTGTGTGCACGTATTTCTCCTTCCAAATCTCATATAATGAAATTTTACATTTAGTTCGTGTGTAACTTAGTGTCCTGGTTTTATTAATAGCATTTTGCCTGTCTTTAAATTTGGTCTAGGGTGTTATTCACTTTGTCTGATGTCAACTAAGGCCAACTTTTAGTGCAAGCTATTTTCTGTTTCTATTGAGATCTAATAAAACAGAAGGCAACACATCTTTGAGGAAACATCTTTACGTGCTCCTCTGTTGTACAAAGGATGGAAGTGCAGAGTATGAAAAATAATGCATCAGTTTTCATAGATGGGACACCTGAGCTGGTGTTTAATCAATCAATAACAGCATTTAATTTGGTAAAAATGAACTAGGGTGTTTAGAATATTTGGCCTCTTTTCGTCAGTTGTTGTTTAGTGATGACAATTTTGATGTTGTAGGCCCATTTGGTATCTTGAACATTTCAACTTGTGTAATTACTTGGAGAAAATAGATTATGAGCTGTTCGGTTCTTGCGAAACTGATTATTAAAAAAACTTAACGGTGTAAACTATTTACATTCAAATGTCAAATTATTTTGATTTCTAGTTGTTGCTTTCTTAATATAAGAACATGGTAAATTTTAGGGAAAAAACAAATGAACAAATTTAGAACACATTTTATTATATTTTCTTTCTTTTCTTTTAGAGATTTTTTTTTTTTTTTTTGCGGTAGGGTGCATGCAGTCACCAGGGAGACAGAGACAGAGAGACAGAGAGTGAGAAATCACCCCCTGAGGGGATGGCCATGCTGTAATCCCTTCTCTTCCACTCTCCTCTCGGGATTTTGGGGCGCGCGCGCGCACACACACACACACACACACACACATGCCGCATGAGTTTACGCCTCTGGCTCCAGAACTGGAACTGTGGTCCATTACAGGAAGTCCAGCAATGTAACCATTACGCCATCTGTTGGTCTTGCCACATTTTGTTATATTTTCTAAAAATGCATAAAATCTCTTCTTACTCGCCTTGTCTTGCCCCTCTCTTTCTTTGATTATTTTTTATTAGGAAATTGTTTGGGTGAGCTTTGTTTCAAATTATGGGTTTCTGAATTTCCAGTATTCACAGTTTATTAGAGGGCTAGATACTTTTTCAAGTAAATTCACACTATCCTCACTCCTTTGAGTCTTAATATGATTGTTGGTTTGCTAAGCCATTTTTAATATTCTCATACATTTATGCATTCCACCTTTTCTGTCAGTTTATTTCTTCCATGATTGAGACACAGAGACAGAGACAGGCACTCTTGATAAGGTCTACATGCTGCAATCCACCCCCAGCCTCAGCTAGCCCTTACGTCTGGCACACATGCACACACCTGTTGCATATAAGGAAATCTCAGGATTCAAACCCAGTACCTTCCCATGTGGCTTCAGCATCAAGGAGTGTTATGTAATAGCTGTACCATTGAAGCTGGCCTTCCATATTTCTTTTCTAAGCATTTATTGATGGTCCTGCATGTATATGACAATGTGTCAGGTACTGAATAGCATATGACCCCATTTCTATCTTAAAATAATTTGTCTTCTATCAGAGGACATCAGTTATGCACTCAAATAATTTTAGTTCTAGATTTAAAGAAATAAAATCAACTTTAGAGAAGAACAGGTAATGTTGTGGAAATTCAGTTGGATTGTATCAGATCGTGATGTTAATTTTATGACTCATGATTTGAACTGCCTGACTTTCAGTGACGATATTGCTGAGTCACTTTTTCATTCAGTGATATAATTTCCATAAAAACATATTTGATTAAAATAAAATATAAATGTTAAATTAATGTAAGCGTATTCCTTTTTCTAAATGTATATTATACAGCTATGGCAGAATATAATCAATGTCGCCTATTCTTTTTTATTTCTATTTTTTTGAGAGGTTTTTGTTATTGGGCGTGTGCGCTCGCCAGATAGACAAGAGACAGACAGAGAGACAGAAAGCGAGAAATCACCCCCCAGGGGGCATGGCCACGCGGCAATCCCTTCTCCTCCATTCTCCTCTCGGGATCTTGGGCATGCACGCACACGCACCCGGCGTGAGTTTAAGCCACCGGGTCCGGGACTCGAACAGCGGTCGACTACATGGGAGTCCAGCCACACAGCCATTACTCTAACTGCTGGTCCCAGTGTTACCTATTCTTAATCTCAACTTACTCTTCCTCATATGAGTGAGAGCATACGGTGTTTTTCTTTCTGTGCCAGGTTTATTTCACTTTACACAATGTCCTTCAGGCTCATCCATGTTGCTGCAAATGTGGCATTTTATTATTTTTTATGGTTGAATAATATTCCTTGGAGTATGCATGTATGTGTTTATGTGTGTGTGTGTGTGTTCACATTTTCTTTACCCATTCAAACTTATTGGTGGGTATCTAGGTTGATTCTCTATCTTGGCTATCATGAAAAGTACTGCAATAAACATGAGACTATTACTGCATTTAAAGTGCTCTCCAGAGCTATGATTTACCTTATTCTAAGGGATTTTTAAAACATAATTTTTATCTCCAAAATTTCTTTCATAATTTTTCTTAGTACTTGAAACATGTTTTAGTAATGGTGATAAATGTATAGCTCAAATAACTAGTAAAGAGGCTATAATCTGAGGCTGTAATCTGAAAAGTGCAATCAGTATCATTTTTTCCTTTTTTTAGAGGTTTTTGTCTTAGGGCATGTGCACTTGCCAGAGAGAAAGAAAGACAGAGATAGTGGGAGGTAAAGTGAGAAACTATCCCCTGGTGGATGGTAACGCTACAATCCCTTCTCCTCCATTTTCCTCCCAGGATCCTGGCATGCATGCACATGAGCCCAGCATGGTTCAAGTCACCATGTCTGGGACTGGAACTGCAGTTGACCTTGTGGAAGTCCAGTGATGTAACCGCTACAGCATCTGCTGGCCCCACAATCAGTATCTTTAATTGGATCTGTTTTATTTTTATTTATTTTTTTAAAAAGAATTCTTTTATTTAACTTTATTTATTTATTTAATTTGACCAGAGAGAGACACAGAGAGAGAGAGAGAGAGAGAGAGAGAGGGAGGGAAAGTGAGAATGCAAGCCACCAGGTCCAGGACTTGAACTGCAGTCGGCCTTGTGGGAGTCCAGCGCTCTTAACCACCACATCACCTGCCGGCCCAATTGGATCTGTTTTAAAAGCGAAAGGAAATTCCTTCAGAATTGGTAGCCGACAAAGTAAATTTGAATGTTTCATGTTTTCCTTTGACCTTTCACTTTTTTGACTCACTGTTCTCACTTTTATCCCAAATTGGATAGAACTTTAGCTATAATCCTCATTCTTAGGGTTGGAAGATTGAGCTCCATATTTTCTTGCAAAAGTTTTCTTATTTCCTTTAGAGTCTAATTATCTAAATTATATGAACACTCTTGAATATATTAGTGATTTGAGATACTACCCATCCAAGAGGGCGCATTAATCTTTAACAATAGTTTTTAATTCTTGAACATGTAGGAGTGAGTGTTAAGTTTTAGTAAAGTGCTAAATGAGGAGGTGTTTGGGCACAGAGAGGTCTTTGAGTGCCTAGGGCATCTGTTTGGTCATTTCTAAGTTTAAAAAGATTTCATCCAAATTTTCTCAGATTTAAAATCTGACCAGGCTATTCCTAATCACCAATGCCTCAATCACTATTTGAAAAGTTGAACTCATTGGGAAATAATCTTAAAAATTACTAACACTGTCCCCTTTACAGGGATGCATGTTTAGCAATGAAAATTTCATGATTTGACAGTTGATTTTAAGGGGCTAAGAATTTATATTTCCATGGTTATTAAAGCACAGGAAGCATTTCCATTCCCGCCCTACAGTCTTTTCTTCCTGTTCTAGCTATGACCAGGAGATGCTAGAAACGTCATCTGTCTTCAACTTCCATTGAGAAAGGAGTGTCTTTCAAGGAGCATCTGGAATTTGCCTGACTTTGATAATGTAGTGCAGAGCAGTTCTAAAAATAAAGGCAGGATTATTGTATTCATTTGGAGCAGCTTATTTCATCCTTGTTTTTCAGTTGTAGCCTAGTGCCTTGTATGGTGGTAGTTTCTGTTTCTCAGAACAAGCTAAGAAGAGCCATTCTGTTCTGTGCTCTGAGAATGCTTGAGTACAGAGTCTGTATTTTTGAGAATAACATTTGCCTCACACAAGAAGTCTGTGTTCTGCAAGTGTGATGTTTGATGCATGTAGGGAGAATTAGCACCCATGGGAATTGAGCCTAAGAAATGGAATAGAAATGCCACTGTCAAATAAAGAAGTGCTTATTTATTCATATTATATTTGAATTTAATGGAGAACACAGTAACTTAGCATTCTTAAATAGGAGGTCTGATTTTCTCTCTGGTAGGGAGGGTCAACATTGATCTTATGGTTTTAGGACATTTTAGTCATGTATTCTTATTCAAGGCTACCAAGAATTTAAGGCAACACCCACTTCACTTGTGTTTACGTAGATTTAGTTTAATCAAATAAGGATTCGACTGTAAGTGAGCTTGGAATATACCCTGAAAGAAAACAAAGAGGTTTCTTAAGAGCTTGGTAGCTGTGTATGTTATAGTCAATAGATTTTCTCTGTCATCTCTTCAAGTCAGGAGAGGACCTTGAGATTATTAGTGATCTTATCATTCACTTCACATGTTGTAATTTAGTTCTGTATCTTGATCTTCTTTTTCTCCATTTTAGATACTAGCTCAGTCATGTACCGAGATCCTAGAACTGCGGCCCTCAAGTGTCTGCGTGGGGGGTAAGTGTTTAAAACTTAAAAATACCATGTAAGAAATCGTATTTTTTATTTTTTTTGCTAGCTAAAATATATGATTTTAAACCCATGTTGGAAAGAGAATAACAAAATTAACTTTTTTGGCATCTTTTTTTGTGTAAGAATTTTTAAATAATTCCTTGAAATATTTCTATTTTAAATTCAAATTTTTAAGATTGGAGTGTTATTTTAAATAATGAGCATATTGTGTGACAGGCTTTTAGAATCTTCTGTATATTTAGTTCCTATTTGAGACCTTTCTTATGGCAAATAAAATAAAATATGAAATCTTTTCTTGTATCGTATTATTGTCAGGCATGTGTAGATTTTGAGCCCCATTCTTTGATGAACTGACCAAGATGCGGTGTGTGCCAGCTCAGGGGACGTAAGGAAGTGACTCAGGGTGGGTGGTAGGAAGGGAGCAGGTGGCTTCATTAACTGGTGCTAAGAACAGATGCAGGTTTTTGCACCTCCCAACCATCCTTGCCCAGAGACAGTGTGAGTCCCTCTGGCCCATTTTATTTCTTCTTCAGACTTGACCTAGAGTTCATTTTAACCTGACTTTACTTAGAAAAGGAAAAATACTGAGTCGGGTAGGGATGGAACTGTGTCGTGTAATCCACCACAGAGCCTCCCAGCTTAGCTTGCTGGATGAGGTCTTAAGCTGGGTGTCTTCTGGACTCCCTAATGAATGATTTTGGAAATGTACCTGAACACCCCAGAGCAGCATTCTCATTTCTAAGAGCATAGGGTAATAAGTTTCTAAAGGCCCAGTTTGGTGACACAGTGTGTTGTACATTGAACTGCTGGGCTGGAAACCACACGGCTGATTATGAGGTCCAGATCCCAGGGGCCCGTCAACCAGGGTGTGTGCATGCCCAAGATCCTGATGAGATGGAGGGCCAGGGTAGAGCCGTGTGAGGGCGTCCTGTCAAGGGCCTTTCTGTCTCCTATGCATGTACTCAAACTCTCTGTCAGGGATAAAATCAACTTTAAATAATAAGTAAATTTTTAGAAATAAGAAAAATAAATGAAAAAACAGCATTAAAATGACAGCTGTAATTTATACTTTTATTTATATTGGTACTTACTGGGTCCTTTTCATTTGGATTTACCAATCCTTATAGCAATGTTCTTTGGTAGTTTTATGATCTCTGGTTTGCAGATGGGGAAACTGAGTAATAGCTCAGCATTGGTTACTAGTAATTGTTGTGTTAGATCCTTGTCTATTTGACTTTGTCTGTGGTCTTAGTGAATCACATTTAAGTTTTATCTACAACTTATTTTATTTGTAAATAGAATTTCTTTTGTGATACACCAAATGGAGAGTGATCTGGTGGTATTTTCTTCCTTAATACATAATTGTATACATGAGGGAGGGGTGGTCATTACAAAGTTCATGGAAAATGCATATTATGAAAATTATGCACCGATTTAAAAAAAGCTTTTTTTTTTTTTTTTTTTTGGTGGCAATGTAAACTGATACTTTAATTCCAGTTTTCCATGAACTTCTCCAGGTACCTGTATGTGTTGAATTGTGTTAGGTGAAGCTGGCGAGGATTGAGAGTGTTAAAGACCAGGCCTGAAGCAGCTCTGCTCAGACAAAGGCACTTATGCCTCATTAGTGATCTTAACCTTACTGAGTCACAAACATAATGAAACCTGACTCAAGCATTTCTTCTAACCGCATATGTTAAAGAAAAACAGAATTGAAACTCTCCCAATCAAAAGTAACTAACAAACTTCTAAGCACATAACAAGGGACTTGACAACAGAACAGACCAAATAAGATAGTAATAACTGTAACCTGTGAAATATTTTTTTTGCTTTACTTCTGCTTTTATCCTATAAAAGCTTCCTCCTTGCATTCCCTTAGTGGAGCTTTTGGACCTCTTCTGATTTGGAGCTGCCCAATTCATGGATCATTGTTTGCTCAAATAATCTCTTAAAATTTTATTGTGCCTCAGTTTACCCTTTTTTGGAGAGATTTTTGCTATAAGGCATGTGTGTTCACTGGAAAGACAGAGAAAGATGGAGAGAGAGAAAGTGAGAAATCATCCCCTGAGGAGACTGGCCATGCTGCAGTCCCCTTTTCTTCCATTTTCCTCTCTAGATTTTGGGCACACACACACACACACACACACACACACACACCCAGCATGAGTTTCAAGCCGCCAGGTCTGGGACTTGAACCATGGTCAACCATATGGGAGTCCACTGCTTTAACACTACGCCACCTGCTGGTCCCTCATGTTATCATTTTTAACAAGAGTTAATCACTATTAAAATAGCTAATACACCATAATGCAGCTAAGCTGCACATTTAAGGCCTATTAAGATATTTAATGAGGGGACCAGTAGATGGCATAATGGCTACGTTGTTGGACTCCCATGTAGTCGACCATGGGTCGAGTCCCAGACTCAGTGGCGTAAACTCACGCCGGATGCGTGTGCGTGTGTGCCCAAGATCCCGAGAGGAGAATGGAGAAGGGATTGTGGCGTGACCATCCCCCCTGGGGGGTGATTTCTCGCTTTCTGTCTCTATGTCTCTCTCTGTCTGTCTGGCGAGCGCACGCGCCCTACAGTGAAAATCTCACAAAAAAAAAAAAAGATATTGGGAACCAGCAGTTAGCGTAATGGCTATGTCGCTGGACTCCCACGTAGTCGACCGCAGTTCGTGTCCCGGCCCCGGTGGCTTAAAACTCACGCCGGGCACGGGTGCGTGCGTGCCCAAGATCCCGAGAGGAGAATGGAGAAGGGATTGTGGCGTGACCATCCCCCCTGGGGGGTGATTTCTCGCTTTCTGTCTCTATGTCTCTCTCTGTCTGTCTGGCGAGCGCACGCGCCCTACAGTGAAAATCTCTCAAAAAAAAAAAAAGATATTTAATGAGGTCTGATCCTGTAGTACAGAGGTTAAGCTCAGTACACAGAGAACAGGATCCTATATGGCTGAATGTGATTTAAATCCTTGCCCTGGCAGCTTGAAAATCACCAGATGTGTGTGCATGCCCCCAATTCCTAATGGGATAGAGAAATAGAGGAAATAGGGAATGCCCCATTGAAGTGTGTTTTTTTTCTCTCTCTCTCAAGAGTACAAGTGCCTTCTCACAAGAAAAAATAAACTAAAAAGATATTTGATAAGTTAATTTCATCTAGCATATTCTTTCACTCTCTAACGTTCAGAGCCCACTCCTGCTATACAGGTAGGGTACAATAAACTAAATCAATGTCCCTTAGTGACTAGTTTTAGATGACTAGTAATCCAAAATACATGACCTCTGATGATTTATGCAACAGAAAATGAAATTAGGACTAGTAAAGTGAAGACCTTTGTATGGAAAAGGCATAGATTAAGAAAATACTGCATATTAACTTTCCAGAGAACCAAAGAACAGAAATAGTTTTCTTTACATACCCAAAACTTAATATCTTAGAGTGAAGAAAAACAAAGAAGTTTCTTTCTTGAGATTATTTTTGTGAGGATAGAATTTGGACATTTTGAATAGCATCTGTCTGGGAGTAACTGATTTGTTTCCATACAATTCTAATACCTGGGCTACTACTGAAAAACAACTTTGTATAAAGTAAAATGATACATCACTGTGTAACAGTGAATGGTATCACTACTTTCACTACCCAGAGGGTCTAAGAACACAAATGTAGTTGGAAAAGTTATGTGTGGCTTAACGATGGGGAGACATTCTGAGAAAGACCTTCTTAGGCAATTTTGTCATTGTGCCAACATCACGGTGTACTTCCACAAGCCTAGATGGGATAGTCTGCTGCACACCTAGACTATATGGGATAGCCTGCATGCTCTTCCTGAGACCACTCTCACTATGCCATCCATCACTGACCCAAGCATTGCTGCATGGCACATACCTATACTATTGCAAATTTTGTCTTCATTGTTATGGCTGTATAATATTGAATTATAAGAAGAAATAATAACATGATATTATTCACAATATATACATTATTATTAATATATAGTAATATATTGATGCATTTTAATAGATAATAGACAATAAGTATATTATATAATAATATATAATAATATATAAGTAATATATAATTATTAGTATATATTCATATATTATTAATAATACAATATCAATATAATATATTATTCAATAGTAATATTGAATAAGAAATTCATTCAGTGCTTCTTGTCCAATGCTTTTGTTTCAACTTAATCTGTTTTTTTTTTTTGTTTTGAGAAAGCAGTGATTAAAATGTTTACTTTTCTTTTTTTTATTTCTAGAGGAATTTCAAATCGTTTTGAATGGAAGAGGATTCGCTCTGGGCAGTCGGAACGGCAGTGCCCTCTGTACCTACACTGTTAACGCAACCTACACCAAGAGTAGGTGCCCAGTCTTGTCAGTGTTGGTCATGTCAGTGTTGCTCTAGTGTCCACATGGCCTCTCCACATCAAGTGTGTTCTTTCCTCCAGCTAAAACCAGCTCTGCTCTATTTTCAATCGAAGAAAAAAGTAAATAAAGCCTGAATGATAATATAAGTAGTACCAATTATTTAATATTTATTTAATAATGGTATCATTTTCTTAAATAGTAAATGCTGGACCTTCATTATTTTGATTCTGGTTTGTGGTTGAAAGAATAAAATAACTTGGTATGTGAGATAGCTAATGATGGCCAGAGCTGCTGCTTGAACCCAGTTTTCTTGTCTATGCTCTATACAGACCAAGTCAACAGCCCGGTTTTATCGCCTCTTTCCTCAGACACATTTCTTGGTGTACTTACTTTAAAATCTCATTATCTTGGACTCTTTTACTAGTTGTTGCCTTATCTTTTGTTGCTCATGTTCTTTATTCAATTTCGCAATTATTTGTTAGTCAGATTCTTGAAAACAGACTGCCGTACGAATCTTTTGTATCTCTAGTACCTACTCACAGTTTTTGTGGATAATTATTATATTTATGGAACTGAGCTTTACTTTTTCCTAGCATCTACTTTCACAAAAGCCAATTAATGTAATGTTTTTATTTTCATTTTAAGGAAAACTCTCTCTCTTAAATGGGTCTTAGTTTTCTGAGCATTTCTCTATTAAAATATGCTTCCTCTTTGATGATTATATTGCCCTCTAAAAATTTATACAGAAAGCAGACATTATAACTTTGTGAACTCAGAGTGATTTTTTGAAAGAGACTCACCTCCAATTTTGCTATTTATCTGATGGTGCTAATCTTCTTTATTAACATAGCTTTGACCACACATATGGTAACATGCAGTTAGTTCAGTGTGTGTCTGTTGAATTAAAGTGGTGAGTCTCTCAGCATGGTGAGTGTCGTAATTGATTCCTCTCCTTCCTATTAAGATCATCACTTTGGTAAGGCAAAACAATAATATTTGAAACCAGTTCTTTTTGTAAAAGAGTCCATGATTGAGTAGCACAAGTAATTTAATTTTCATTCTGTGATCATTTGTATCTAAGCATTAGGTTTACCTAATTCTTCTTGATTACATATTTGAGTTCATTATAATATAGACATATTTTGTGCTTAGTTACATAAGATTAAGTTTATATGACTAAATCCTGAAACAATAGGAATCAGAATGCAGTTTTCATCATTCACATTCTCAGATAAACTTTTCAATATGTAACTTGTCCGTTTCTAATCTAGATAATTTTTTCTCATGTATTATTAAAATTATAAGGGCAATTTAAGCACCAACTTTATTTATTTATTTATTTTGGAGAGGTTTTGCTGTAGGGTGCATGTGCTCGCCGGAAAGACAGAGTGAGACAGAGAGACAGAAAATGAGAAATCACCCCCCAGGGGGAATGGCCACACTGCAATACCTTCTCCTCCATTCTCCTCTCAGGATCTTGGGCATGCATGCACATGCGCCTAGAATGAGTTTGAGCCACCAGGTCCAGGAATTGAACTGCGGTTGACTACATGGGAGTCTAGTGACATAGCCATTATGCCATCTGCTGGTCCCAGCACCAACTTTATAAAGTGTATTTAATTATTACAATAATTAACTATTTTATTAAATTATTTTATTTAATTATTACAATAATTAACTATTTTATTAAATTCATGAAATAAATTCATTTTTTCCTTTGGGTAGTCATCTTTCTATCTCCATCTTTTCTAGCTTCTGTTTTAAAAAAGTATGTATCATTTTCCTTAAAATCTGAAATGCTGGAAATATTTAGGAGAAAAATATGTTTTTATATAGTATCTGCAACTACATGGGAGTTTAACCTAAGTCAAAGAAATCTTTTGAGAAAGCAGTGATTAAAATGTTTACTTTTCTTTTTTTTATTTCTAGAGGAATTTCAAATCGTTTTGAATGGAAGAGGATTCGCTCTGGGCAGTCGGAACGGCAGTGCCCTCTGTACCTACACTGTTAACGCAACCTACACCAAGAGTAGGTGCCCAGTCTTGTCAGTGTTGGTCATGTCAGTGTTGCTCTAGTGTCCACATGGCCTCTCCACATCAAGTGTGTTCTTTCCTCCAGCTAAAACCAGCTCTGCTCTATTTTCAATCGAAGAAAAAAGTAAATAAAGCCTGAATGATAATATAAGTAGTACCAATTATTTAATATTTATTTAATAATGGTATCATTTTCTTAAATAGTAAATGCTGGACCTTCATTATTTTGATTCTGGTTTGTGGTTGAAAGAATAAAATAACTTGGTATGTGAGATAGCTAATGATGGCCAGAGCTGCTGCTTGAACCCAGTTTTCTTGTCTATGCTCTATACAGACCAAGTCAACAGCCCGGTTTTATCGCCTCTTTCCTCAGACACATTTCTTGGTGTACTTACTTTAAAATCTCATTATCTTGGACTCTTTTACTAGTTGTTGCCTTATCTTTTGTTGCTCATGTTCTTTATTCAATTTCGCAATTATTTGTTAGTCAGATTCTTGAAAACAGACTGCCGTACGAATCTTTTGTATCTCTAGTACCTACTCACAGTTTTTGTGGATAATTATTATATTTATGGAACTGAGCTTTACTTTTTCCTAGCATCTACTTTCACAAAAGCCAATTAATGTAATGTTTTTATTTTCATTTTAAGGAAAACTCTCTCTCTTAAATGGGTCTTAGTTTTCTGAGCATTTCTCTATTAAAATATGCTTCCTCTTTGATGATTATATTGCCCTCTAAAAATTTATACAGAAAGCAGACATTATAACTTTGTGAACTCAGAGTGATTTTTTGAAAGAGACTCACCTCCAATTTTGCTATTTATCTGATGGTGCTAATCTTCTTTATTAACATAGCTTTGACCACACATATGGTAACATGCAGTTAGTTCAGTGTGTGTCTGTTGAATTAAAGTGGTGAGTCTCTCAGCATGGTGAGTGTCGTAATTGATTCCTCTCCTTCCTATTAAGATCATCACTTTGGTAAGGCAAAACAATAATATTTGAAACCAGTTCTTTTTGTAAAAGAGTCCATGATTGAGTAGCACAAGTAATTTAATTTTCATTCTGTGATCATTTGTATCTAAGCATTAGGTTTACCTAATTCTTCTTGATTACATATTTGAGTTCATTATAATATAGACATATTTTGTGCTTAGTTACATAAGATTAAGTTTATATGACTAAATCCTGAAACAATAGGAATCAGAATGCAGTTTTCATCATTCACATTCTCAGATAAACTTTTCAATATGTAACTTGTCCGTTTCTAATCTAGATAATTTTTTCTCATGTATTATTAAAATTATAAGGGCAATTTAAGCACCAACTTTATTTATTTATTTATTTTGGAGAGGTTTTGCTGTAGGGTGCATGTGCTCGCCGGAAAGACAGAGTGAGACAGAGAGACAGAAAATGAGAAATCACCCCCCAGGGGGAATGGCCACACTGCAATACCTTCTCCTCCATTCTCCTCTCAGGATCTTGGGCATGCATGCACATGCGCCTAGAATGAGTTTGAGCCACCAGGTCCAGGAATTGAACTGCGGTTGACTACATGGGAGTCTAGTGACATAGCCATTATGCCATCTGCTGGTCCCAGCACCAACTTTATAAAGTGTATTTAATTATTACAATAATTAACTATTTTATTAAATTATTTTATTTAATTATTACAATAATTAACTATTTTATTAAATTCATGAAATAAATTCATTTTTTCCTTTGGGTAGTCATCTTTCTATCTCCATCTTTTCTAGCTTCTGTTTTAAAAAAGTATGTATCATTTTCCTTAAAATCTGAAATGCTGGAAATATTTAGGAGAAAAATATGTTTTTATATAGTATCTGCAACTACATGGGAGTTTAACCTAAGTCAAAGAAATCCTAATTTGGCACAGCCACAGTGGAGCAACCATTGCACAGTGCTCTGCAATGCTGAAGGCCATAGGGAAGATCAGAATTTGGTTCCCAGGTTCACTTGCACACACTGGATGTTCCTGGATTCCTATCTCCCGATTTCCTGGTCTCTCTGTCTCCCTCTACACATCAGGCAATATGCTGGTGATTCTGACTGACTGGGATTTCAGAGTGGGGACTCCGTCAGAGTGCCTGTTTCTCTCTCTCTCTCTTTCTCTCCCTTCTTTTTTTATTTTTTAAGAGTTTTTTTTTTTTTTTTCACTATAGGGCACATGTGCTCTCCAGAGAGACAGAGGGAGAGAGACAAAGAGACAGAAAGCAAGAAATCATCCCTTGGAAATTGGCGACACCACAATTCCTTTTCCTCTTGGGATTTTGGACATGCACACATTTGTGCCTGGCGTGAGGTTTAAGCCACCGAGTTCAGGACTCGAACCACGGTTGATTCCGTGGATGTCCAGCGACGTAACCATTACGCCATTTGCTAGTCTGCCCCCCCCCCCGTCCTCTTTTATGGAGGAAATAAATGGATAAACTTTTAAGAAGGAAAAAATTCTAATTTATGATTTACCGATATTATATAATAATGGGGCAGAGAGTATCTTTCCATCTTAATCCCTCTTTCCTTCTTTCTTTAGTTTTTTATGCTAATAAATCTAATATGCCACACTTGAACTCTGATCACAGGAAGTTCTTTATATTATTAATAAAACTGTATGAGACACTTGAAATTCTTTATTAATTCAGTGGCATTTTATTTTCTAGGTGTAAAGCCAGTAAGTGTACAGCTTAATTCTATGCTTTGTCCTGCACCTATCCTGAATACACCTGGAGAGTAAGTATTTTATAAGAAGTTTTTTAAAAACGTCTTACTAACAAAATTATTAGAAAATGATAATGGGCTGGCCACATAGTGCATTGGTTGAGCACTGTCTGTTGGAAGCTGCCCAATCCTACATGGCAAACTGCAATTCAGATCCTGGCCTCAGCAGTTTGAAAACACACCCATTGCATATGTGTGTGCCCTAAGTCCCAAAAGGCTGGAGAATTGGAGGAAAAATGAATTGCAGTATGACCATACCTCATTGTGGGGAGCAGGGTGCCGTATTCTTTCATTTGTATTAATTTGTGCTTTAATTTGTGTCCCATAGCTGTTGAGGTCTGTACTTTCATGTTTATTTTATGTGTCAATAAACTATAATAATTGCTAACTAAAATATGGAATATTTGAGGCCAGCAGGTGGCATGGTAGTTAAGGTACTAGACTCCCACATGGCCGACCATGGTTTGAGCCCCAGATCTGGTGGCTTGAAAATCATGCTAGGTGCATGTAAGTGCATGCCTCAAATCCCTAGAGGGGAATGGAAAAGGGATTGTAGCATGGCCATCCCCCTTTGGGGGTGATTTCTCACTTTCCCTCTCACTGTCTCTTTCTCTGATTAGCACACATGCCCTATGGCAAAATCTTCAAAACTATAGGTATATTTAGTTTGGAAGATGGGTTTTTATTGTCTAGATGCAAATAATTTTACTAGTAATTTAATATTTTTACTTGTAATTTTTTTCTATCATGTTATAAGGGATATAAAAATACCTAGCTCAACTGTAGTAGATAACACTTGTTTAGGAACACAGAAAGGATACAGTTCTCTAGAATTACTTTATACTGATATTTTACTGAACGCAAAGAAAAACTAATATTCAAGGTCACAATCAAGGTCTGGATTAGTGTTCAGAGAGTAAAGATTACTTTTTCTTCCATGGAATCCAAGAGAATCAACTTAGTCCTTGGACTTAAGATTTATTTTTGTGAATCCTTAAATGTTCAAGATATCTACTCCATGGAATCCAAGAGAATCATCTTAGTCCTTGGACTTAGTATTCACTTTTGTGAATCCTTAAATGTTCAAGATATCTAATGGACCTCACTTCTGGACATGCGGGAAAGTTATAGAAGTATCAGCTTTCTATTTTAAAGAGATTGAAAGGGGCTGCAGAATATAACTTGTAAAAGTAAGATTACTCATTTTCTGTGTCATAGAATAATCTAGTGTTAGTGACAACCTGCCTATGGCTAAATCAGCATTGAAATTTAAGAAAGGTAAATTTTTCACAGCGCCATCTCAATGCCAAATGCACCAGAAGACTTGGTGGTTTTCTGAGTAATTGTGTCCTGTATTAGTCATGATAAATCTATTGACCTGAAGTTTGATTCTTAAGATCTCTTGAATTTGTAATTCCATATTGGAATTACATGGAATTACAAATTCATTGTCCCCCACCCTCAGACAATCTGCTTCACAAGCTGTCTTTTCTATTTTGGTAACTGTCGCTTCGTCCTTTTTGCTGTGTAGGTCAAAAACCTTTGAGTCATAAATGATATCTTTCTGTCAGACCCAGTTCATCTTTAAATCTTCTTAGCTCTAATTCCAAAACATATCCAGAATCCAATCTCCATTAGAGCCATCCTAGACCAAACTGCTGTCACCACTTGCTTGAATGAGTAGCCTCTGAACGATTTTTCTATTCTTGTCCTTGGCAAGATTGATCGTGTTAAAACAGGTTGGCCTATGCCACACCGCCACTTAAAATTCTTAAGAATGAGTACCTCCTTCTGCTCAGAGTAGAAATCTGATCTTGGTGATCTTCTCCAAGGGTTTGTAAGATCTCACCCGGCTCTGCTCTCTGACTTCATCTTCCATTTGTCCCTTCCCTACTCGACATGGTCACACTGGCTCTGCTGTTCCTTAGTCACATCAGCTTACTCTCACTTCAGCATTTCTTCACTTGCTGTTCCCTATTCCTTAGTCAGATCAGCTTACTCTCACTTCACTTCAGCATTTCTTCACTTGCTGTTCCCTCTGCTTGGAGTGTTCTTCCCTTCCTGAGTTGCTTCCTGGCCTTCTTCAAGCCTAGTTCTTTTTTTTTTTTTTTTGAGAGGTTTTTGTTATAGGGCGCGTGTGCTCGCCAGAAAGAGAGAGACAGAGATAGAAAGCAAGAAATCAACCCCCAGGGAGGATGGCTATGCCGCAGTCCCTTCTCCTCTATTCTCCTCTCCGGATCTTTGGCACACATGCACACACACCTGGCCTGAGTTTAAGCCACCGGGTCCAGGACTCGAACTGTGATCGGCTACATGGGAGTTTAGCGACATAGCTGCTTTAGGTTTGTAAAACTCCCTATTACCTTTTTATGCTTTCATTTTTCTCCCAAAGCACTTGTGATAATATGTCTCTTTCGTGTTAGGATAAACTTTGTCTTGTTTCCTGTCGTGTCATTAGCAGCTAACATAGTGTCAGAAACCTAGAAGAATCACTAAGTTTGTTGAACAAAGAGGACAAATTTTTCACAAAATAATTTTTGTTTTATCAATTAATTCATATAAAGAGCTATAAGTGACCATTTGGGGGTCTGGTGGCTTGGTGGTTAAGGGCACTGACTCCCACGTGGCCAACCGCGATTTGAATCCCAGACCTGGTAGCTTTCTCACTTTCTCTCTCTCATTCTGTTCTTCTTTGGTCAAATGAAAAGAAATAAGAATGGTCAAATAAAATCACATTTTTTTTTAAAAGAGACCATTTGGTTGCTGTATATCAGATAGTATAAAGATGGCCGGAATCTTATTTGAAGGGTACGGTACTTATCGAAGAACAGAAAACCTTTTGTTTTTAATACTAGTGACTAGGAAGGCAACATCTTCAAATTAGTTATAAAATGCTGTTCTGTCCTGGGCCTGAATTACTTTTCTCTGGAATTTGCCTTTGGGCACAATATTCTATTGAATAGAATACCGTAGAATCTTTCGTGGTTGGTAGGTAGGCTAAGTACTTGGGAGACGCATGTTTTTTATATCACACATAGCAAAATAAATGTAAGACTTGAGAAGTTATCATTTGTTTGGCTTTTGACATTGAAATGTTTTACCTATAAGCGCACTGAGAATGATTGGAGATGGAGATCTGTCAAATAGACTTTTGCTTTACTATTTTTTTTTTTTGTATCAAGTACTTAACACATTGAGGCAAAGCTTTAGAATATTTTATTTGTTAATGTATTGGGCTTTTGGGGATGTCGTTATTTGTTCTACTTGGTGTGTTGCAAGTCATTCGAACCTTTCTTTTGCCTTTAATTTTTTGGGGGATACTTTTGTTAACACAACTGAAACAGTTTAGACTTGTAAGGTGACTGGTGCTTAATATGTTTGCCTAATTAGCTTTTGGCTAAGAATTCAAACCCATTAAGTAGCTAGTTAGTCGATATTTCAAATAAACACATCTGGCCCAACAATGAATGAAGGTTTTTCCTTTGCGAGGGTGACAGATGTGGTGATGGTTCCCCCTGTTCTCTCACTTAAATAATTAACAGCACTCTGGTGGAGTAACCCTAGACAGACAGCTTCAAAGCCAGATGCATAGTCTCAGAGCTGGACTCAAAGACATGTGCCTCATCTCATTAGCCTGCTCTAGCAGCTCCTTTCTTTATGCTGCTTCCCAAGTTGAATTTTGTTCGAGGATTAGTCTTTTAAACACTTAGGGCTTGTGGATTTGATTTAACAGGGTTAACATGAAGATATTTACTTGAAGATAGGGACTGAGAATGGAGCAGAGTAGCTGGCACATAGGCCTACATTTAGAAATTGATGTAATAGAATAAACAAAAACATACCTGGATAAATCTGTCCAGGCATATCTTTGTTGAGTATACTTGGATCTTCAGAGAATTTTCTTTGACAGAGATCTACATTTGTTGAATTTGTTTACTTGATAAAGATTTTTAGGCTAAAATAAGCAAATTCTTAGTATGTAAATAGAAAGCATGTAACGGTAGTAGTGAAGTTGCTCTTTTCAATTTCTTTCTCTTGACATTGTTTGCTTTTAAAATGCCACATGATTGGCCCAGCCTGTAGCCTGATGGTTAAGGTCACTAGGTCCTACATGGCTGACCTTATGGTTTAAGTCCTGGACCTGGCAGCTTGAAAAACATGCTAGGCCTGTGCATGCATGCCTAAAATCCTGAAAGGAGGGAGAAATAGAGAAGGTAAGGAGGAATTGCAGCATGATCATGCCCCATGAGGGGTGCTTTCTTGCTTTGTCTCTCTCTTTCTTCCTCTCTCCTTCTCACTCCCTGGTTGGCTCATTCACCCTCTGGCAAAGTTAAAGAAAATTTCAGGAGACCAGCAGGTGGTGTGGTAGTTAAGATACTGGACACTCCCACATGGCCGACCACAGTTCAAGTTTTGGACCTGGTAGCTTGCTTTCTCACATTCTCTTTCTCTCTCTGGTCAAATTAAAATAAATGAATGAATAAATAAAAATAAACAATTATCTAAAAAATTCATATGATTAAACAAGTTGTCTTACTAAGAAAAATCTGTAAATTATTTAGCTTATTTCCACAAAAAGTTCAATTGCACCAGTATGTCTTCTTTAGATTTTAATAGGATGGATTCTCTAAAGCTCTTTGAATCATCCCCATTTCAGGGCAATAGCTTTACAGTTTAATGTACAGGTATTCTCCAGTCCTGGCAGTCTAGGCTTCTTCTTTGACCCTTATTTCTTGAGACATCAACACCAGCATAGGTACTGTCCAGTAATTGACATCTGAAACCTGTACTTAGGAAGACTAGAACAAACTGGGTAAATATACATAAACACACTGTGAAGAAAGAAAAACAGAACAGAAAGAACCAGAGCCTTACCTTACAGCTTGTTTGATAGAGATGATTTAAGGAGGCATATGGTACAGTTAGATGTGCTTTCAGAAACATTGGCCAGAATCTTCTGGCAAATATGAAATAATGTCTAAGTCAGATGAAGCTATAGTATTAGTTCTCTG